CGACTATTCCTTTGTTCTGCAGAAGGCAGTTTATGATCATCACTCAACTTAATCTGTTTATCTTTTAATAGAATATCGAAGATCTTATCTGCCTTCGTTACATCGAAAGTATATGTTCGATTTGCCATTTTGTCTTTTACTTCATTTTTTTGTAGTAATTTACAGATATATGGAGCTCCTACTTTGAGCTCTACTATGTTAACTTTCTCATCGACAATTTCTCCAATATTAGTTTCTGTCGAGGGATCTGTCTCATACACATCATTTATATATGCTACTCTTTCTTTTTTTATGGGTTTTTCAAATTTCTTATACCTTTGTTTTTCATATTCAGTTTGTTCTACTCTTCTCACTTTATTAGCTAATTGAGTCATGTCATTCAATGGTAAATTAACTAACTTCTTCCTAATCGAGAATTCTAAGCCTGTAGAGGTCATTCTGACTAATTCATATTCAGGAATTTGAGTAAAACATCTCGATTTCATTTGTCTAAATTTATTCAAATAATCATCTATACTTTCATGATTGTATCTTTTTATGTTCATCAAATCGATGAGGCTTACTTGAGTCTCTCCTCTAAAGAATTGCTCATGAAAATTTCTTTCCAGCTGCAACCAATTATATATCGAATTGGGCGGCAGCGAAGTAAACCAAGTGAAAGCATTTTTCGTCAATGAACTAGGGAAATATTTCATTTTTAATTCTTCACTCATCGCTAGATCCCCACATTCGATCTGATATCGAGCCACGTGCTCGATAGTGGATTCACCAATTTCTCCAGCAAATTTGGTGAATTTGGGTATTTTGTATCCTCGAGGTAATTTTGTCTCGAGAATAACATTCGGAAAAGGAGAAACAAAATACGTTTGATTGGGTGTTCTTAACTCCATTCCTTGGGAATTCACCCTTTGTCCTAACATGTGATTATACTGCATATTATTTTGATTGTACATATTTTGAAATCCCTCATTCAGATTCCCATAAATATCATTCCTCACATGTTGATATTCGTTCCCCATATGCTGATGTTGATCATTGTTTCGATTCCTCCTCAATAGATACGGGGGATTGATGTTAGCACTTTGGTTAATGCTTTGATTGGCATGATTTTCCACTCTTGTTTGTCGAGGTATAACCAATGCATCCCCGATATGGGTCATTTGGTCTGCTAATATCTCAAAACTAGCAGTAGTGTTTTGAACTAATGGATTGAGGACTGTAGTCAACTGTTGTGATAACATATTCACCATCTCAAAATTGCTCTCATCCATTTGTTGTCTAAGTACTCCTAGTGAGTTGCTGGAGATCCCAGTACTAGTGTTTTCAATAGTCTCAAAATTAGATCGATGATAATCTCTATCGAATGCATTTCTCCCATGATCCAGATTTGCTCTGTGATCTAGATTTGGAGGTGTCTGTTGTGTACCTAAATTCTGCCTACTCCCTGAATTCTGGGGGGTTACTAAATTTTGAGATCCTAAATTCGGAGAGACTCCGAAATTTTGCGACATACCTAGAGTTTGAAAGGTACCTGAGTTTTGAGGCATTCCTAGGTTAAATCTCGAGTTTCGTTGTATCGAAGAGGTACCAGCCCCATTCATATTAAGCGAAAACCCAGGTGGTCTTACGCTCATATATGGCCCAACATTTGTTGTTATGGGGTTTCCCATAGTTTGCATATTGTTTGGTGTCACCGTACTAGATCCTACTTGGGTGTTTGCTAATGTGCCTGCATTTTGTTCATTACTCACAGGTATCGACATACTCACCGTTGTCGATATTACAGGCATATTCCCATTATAACTTTGCCCCCCAGTATTTGGTGGATGTGCACCATTTAGACCTTCACTGTTACTCTGGTTATTTGGTGGATTCTGACTCATTCTTATAACTCGCCCACTCCTTAATCTCATATACTTTCAAACTAACCAATTTTGTGTATTTTCAACACAAGATCCCCTACCTGGCGCGCTAATTTGTTTCTGGTGGAATTTCGATCGATTCCGATTCTTAAGAGGTTTTGATTCTAATCAAAATTCAACCACGCAAGTTCTTTTTTTTACTTAGGCTAGCAAATTGATTTTCAATTGAAATGCATATGAGAATCGAAATTTACATAGTATCAAAAATGATGTTTTTGGTATTTTATGTTTAGAGTGTTCAAAGTAAACAAAGCAATAGAAGCGTCGAATCGAAAAGCAAAACAGAAAATTGAATTGCCAAGAGGTAAAAATGCAGAAACCTCAAATTTGCATTAAATGACAAGAAATTGGAGTAGCGAGAATGTAAATGGCAGGAAATCGAGATTGCAGAAAATATAACTGGCAGGAAATCGAAATACGCAAAAATGTAAATAGCAAGGAATCGAGATTACAGAAATGTAAATAACAAGAAGCTTAAATACGGAAACTTAACTTTCATTAAAGGAAATGACAAGGAATCGAAAGTACAGAAAGTTAAAGTTGCTAAAGATAAATTGCATCAAATTAGATTACCAGGGAAAATAAAGAAAGCGGTAAAGGTACTCAATGAGCATGGAAATCCAGATCGCCAGAAACTTCATGATGTTCGTCGTTCTCCGGTAGACTTCTCACTAGTATTTCTGTTCTCTGCCAATTTTTTCCACCCCCCTTTTCCTTTCATCTTTTGCTCTATTTATAGATCATTTTTCAAGTAGTCTCTTAGGAGCAGTTAACGAAACTGCTACCACGTTCTTCGTGCATGTTGCGGTTTCTTTTCCTGTGGTGTTAAAACCGCACCCACGTTCCCATGATCTTCGACCTCTGCCACGGTTAAAAAACTGCTTCCTATCTGCGTGTTTAACTATTATTCTCTTTATGATTTGGTCAAGGTTTCGATATCCTCGTAAGTTAATCTTCCCTCAATTTCGATTTTAAGATCTCGAGAACTTTGAATTGTTTTCGATTCCTTTTAACCTTAACGTCATATACTTCTAATTTCTTGGTTTTTATTCGACAATAGACATTTAACTATTATTCCTTCGATTCTTGATTCTACCTCTCGATTTTATGTGTCACGCACTTTTAATTGAACATCGAATGATTTCTCATCCATCTTTTCGATTTATCAATAAATCACATGTTTCTCGATTTTTCTTTCCTTCGTTTTTCGATCACTTTTCTCAATTTTCCACTAACAACCCCCTTATAAGTAATAATATTTTCGTACATAAACAAATATTATTCTAGTCGTAAAAATAACATTGAAAAGGTCCAATTATAAGCTAGCGTAATTTCGAGAGACATTTTAGTCAACTCCAGACGATATTGTGTGTTTCAGAAAAAAATAAAAATAAAAATTCTCGGTCAAACCCTTAGACCATAGAATTTGGATATAGAATTAGTACGCACACGAAAACCATTGGCAAAAATTTTAATAATTATTTGTATTCACACTTATTTGTACATCAATTAAACAATACATCACGTGCTTAAAATGAAACTAAAAAAACACTAAAACACCATTTTGAAAACATTACCATTAATGGTACGTTGTTTCCAACAATTATCAAAAATTTCAGTTGACAATTTCCCCGAAAACGGTAGATATTTTCCCTAAAATACTTTGCAAATTTTGATTTGACGATGAAAAGAGATTATTGCATCCAATGCAAGTGTCTTCACCCTCTTGAATATTACAATAAATGTAGTTGAACAACAACAAACCCCAATTTGAATGCTCCACTATCTACTTGTCCTAACAAAAGAGGTAACCACGTCGAAAAGACCCCCCAAAAAAAGTGACCAAAACATAACAATAATTGAACAAAAAAGCTTCGATACTAAGCAGACAGCGTCAATGTTTTGGTGTTGGCATAAGAAAATCTTTGCATTTTTTCAACACCGAATATACATGAAAGAGGTTTTATTATTTCATTGAAAAATCATCGTATATTCGCCCGTCCTTCGAGGTTATTGACGCTGTCTGGTTATTCGACATAAAAATTACAGTTAACCGCTTTTTGTTTGCCAGCTTATACAAACACGTGTACATTTAAAACAAAACAAAATAAAACACAAACCTTCAAAACTGTTTTAACTGTTGTGCGTATTTATCATACGCGCTATGTTATAATTTATTTCCTTCCAAATCAACTCTTTTTTTGTTTCCTTTTACGTAAATTAATTAATTAATTCCTTTTACATACGCGCTACGCTACTCAAAATATTCTTATTTTTATCTTAATTTCTATAAATATTTTCAGTCAACAATATTTATTAGAAAGCAATGTTGTAATAGGAAAAAACCGCAAACATCAATGAATACGTTTTTTAAATGCTAAAACATTAATTATTTTGAAATTGATAGAGTATTAACTAATTAGACTCTTAAAAAAAACCTCTTTATTTCCTTTTTAGTGTACAATTAACGACAGCAAATTGTGAATTGAGGCAATTCTACAAAAATGTTCAAACTTTTATCACTTAAAAAATAGAATTTACTATAAATAGTAAGATTATAGTAGAAAGCTTTTTATTTTACCATTCAGTAACTATTAATTTTTTAGTGTTCATTTAACGACAAAAAAGTTTGCATTCTGGGTCGTGTATAAAATTTCTATGATTTAAAATAATGTAAAATGAATAATTTGTTTAAATAAACATTAAAAAAGAAGAAGAATGAAACATGATCTTAAAAAGAGATGTGTCGTGTGATAATAAGAGAAAGTGTTGAAAATGGAAAAAGAAGAGATGAGATGAAGGTGTCTGAAAGATCCAACCAACGAAGGAAGCAATTTACTTTTACACATAAATGAATACAGTTGGACTGTGTCGTATTAATCTTAAATTAATCCTCTCTCTCTCACCTTACAAATTTAACACTTTCCCTTTCTTTTTTTTTTCTTTCTTTCTTTCGTCAAGCTTCTACTTTTACTCCTTCACCTCTTCTCTCTCTACAGTGTCAAATTTCTCCGGCGACGTAGTTTCACTCTCTCTCTCTCTCTTGTTGACTTCGCCGATCACCGTCGCTAGGCGGCCATGGGACATTGCTGCAGCAAAAACATCGCCGTCAACAACGAGACGGTGCCTGCCGATCACCGCCCCAAGACGCCGCATTATGCGCCGCCGTCTCCGCCGCCGGCGTCGGGGAGCTCGCTCTCCGGCGCGACGCCGGGGAGGAGCACGCCGGCGCACTCGTTTTCTACCAGCCCCTTCCCGAGCCCTCTACCGCCCGGGGTTGCGCCGTCGCCGGCGAAGACTCCAGGGAGGAAGTTTCGGTGGCCGCTGCCACCTCCCTCTCCGGCAAAGCCGATCATGGCGGCGCTACTGCGGCGGCAGGGGAAGGCGAAGCCGAAGGAGGGCCCCATACCGGAGGAGCAAGGGGAGGGTGGCGGCGAGGGAGAGAGGTCGCTGGATAAGAGCTTCGGCTATGGGAAGAATTTTGGGGCGAAGTTCGAGTTGGGGAAGGAAGTGGGTCGGGGGCATTTCGGTCACACTTGTTGGGCCAAAGGGAAGAAGGGTGACCTTAAGGGACAATCAGTTGCTGTGAAAATCATATCCAAAGCTAAGGTGAGAGGGGTTTCTTTTGTTTTTGTGTTTTTGTGACGTTGCTTTTTTATGATTGTGAAGATCGTGTGATGTTTTTATCTTTGTATATTTGGAGTTGGAGATGGTGTACGTTGACTCTTGGTCAATTAAGGATCAGTTTGTGACTGTCTTACATCCTTGTTTTGGGACTGGAATTTTGATGTAGCGTGTGATTAGTATTGACTGATTGCTCTTTTACTTGGATTTGGAAACTCAATTTAGGAGTCAGGTCTGCTTCTTGGGAAAGTTGTGTTATGGTACTGATTTTGCATCGTTTGTTCAAATTTTCCTTCCTGTGTAAGATATGTTCTGTGTGGATATACTGATAGTGTTATGGAATTGGAGCCTGCTGAGGTGGTGGTAGCTGGACAGCGGAATTCACAATGGTTTTGTTGGAGGTGATCAACGTTGCTGCTTTCTCGTCTGTGGTATTAAAATAACATTGTTATTGTTATTTTCTAAGCTAGTGCTGGAATCAGAAACGAAAATGCCATGAAGACTTGCTTTCTGGGAGAATTAGTGAGATTTGAAAATATGGAATGTAAATTCGGTATGTCAGTTAGTCGCTTAACCATGTGATTGGTTGCACTTTGGCGCTTGTTTCAATTACTTGGGAGTGAGTAAGAGCGAAGCTACAGCTCTAAGCTTCTACATTATTTCACCCAATTGAATTTGATTTTAAAGTTTAACGTGCATATCTGATGCGGAAACAAACATACGGTAAAACGTGGTGAAAAGTGTTGACAAATGATGGTGGTTCTAACTCGTTGGTTTCTTGGGAGCATTACAAAAAATATTGAGAAAGGTGGCAGAAATGGTTGTATGTTATGAGACAACTAAGCAAAAGAGGAATTTGCGACCTCTGTAGTTGGACAAGTTGTTGGAAAGTGTGGCTTGTGTATAAGTTATTTGGCATGTGTGGACTCTGACTCATATATAGATGTTTTACATTTGTTCTATCAATGGCCATTAGGTTGTGGTCCAAACAGTAGAGGTTCCAAATCACAAGGACAGAGAAGGTGATATGCACAAGACCTTGTTGCTAAAGTAACTTGTGTGTTTGATAAAAACCATTTCAAGGCCGTCCACTACATAAGCTAAGAGTCTGGGGACAACTACAACAGAAGCTACTCGCATCTATTGCCATTGGGATTGGATATATTTGGGGAATCTGTAGATCATAGTAGTTGGCCAACCTCTGTAATTTTCATCAGTTAGATCATCTGGGTGCTTAATAGCAGATTAAAGAATCCATATAGTGAATCTGGTTATTTACTGTGTTTCCTTCCTCCATTATGAGCCAAATTGGAGGGTAGTAGATATGCTTAAAAGGAAAAGAAGATGAAGAAGAAAATTATGGTCCTGGACAATCGGAACAAACAAAAGCTTATCAACGATGGATGGATGTTATAAGAAGTTTTCCTTTAGTCCAAGCCCTATTAGCATCAGTTGATTTAAAACTTTTATTTCAGTTGCTTGGCCTCTTGTAACGGATGTTTGTGGGAAGAGTATGGGAAAAAAACTGACTCCATATTTCTGCAGCTTTTCATTATTCTTCCAAACAAACAAATTAGAATAAGAGTAAATATTATTTGGTTTGGAAGTATCATGTATTGTTATGTTGTGCATAGTTTGTTTTATGCCATCCATCAACATGAATTAGGACTCAATTTTCAAGCTTTTGTTAATCTCTCCTTATGATTTATTCTTCATAATGGTGGTTATGGTAATTAACTTAACTGATTTGTTCATGGCAGATGACGTCAGCTATAGCAATTGAAGATGTACGGAGGGAGGTGAAAATGTTGAAGGCCTTATCGGGACATAAGAATTTGGTCAAGTTTTATGATGCATTTGAGGATGTCAACAATGTCTACATTGTTATGGAGTATGTTAGAAACAGTTATTTCGGAAGATTCTTCTCTGTCCTGCTAGGACTTTATTTATATTTTGTTCAGTGCTTGATTTATATGCATACTTTATGTTTAGTTATTGGTTATAGAAGAATTCATCACATTACTCAATATGAGGATATTTATCTTGTTTGTTCAGACCTTAAAATGTTGAATTAGACATTTATTCTGACACAATGGAATTTGTTATTGTTGTCAGGTTGTGTGAGGGTGGAGAATTACTTGACAGAATTCTTGATAGGTAAAATTGAAAGGCTGTTTATCGTTTTTACTATCTATAGGTTTTTTGTCAGGTTGTGTGAGAATGGTGAATTACTATCTGTTTGTCATTTTTACTATCTGTAGACTTTTTTGTCTGATATAATTGGATTGTTTTGATATTGATTATTGTTGAAGAGGTGGGAGATACCCAGAGGATGATGCCAAAGCTATTATTGTACAAATTCTAGATGTAGTTGCATTTTGTCATCTTCAAGGAGTTGTTCACCGTGATCTAAAACCAGAGGTATGGCATTGTTAAGCTTGGACCACTCATAATTATTTTGATTGTGCTTTTGACTGAGCTATTATATGTTTTTAACGTCACCTCTCTAAATTGTTTTGCTTTGCAGAATTTTCTATTTGTCTCAAAAGATGAGGATGCTGTGATGAAAGTCATTGATTTTGGGTTATCTGATTTTGTTAGGCCAGGTAACATAATTAAATCAACCTACTATTGTCAGTCTAAAGTAGCATCCAAGTTTCTCAATTTCTTGTATGTAATTTCTTCTTAATCTGTATGTTGCACTGGCATGGTCAAGCTAACTCATTTAACATGGTCAAACTAACTCATTTAATCTCCCCGAGGATACCAAGTAATCAATTATCATATGGTTTTGTGCAATATGGTTAACACTTTGTGAGATATTGACACTACTATGAAGGAATGTTTGTCATATCACAAATCACCGGTCATTAATTTGGAATAGACATCTAAAATTAAATTTCAACACTTGTAATTAAGAACTTAACAGGCCTGATTTCATGTGCTTGAACAATTTGTAGTTCCTTGAGTAATATTTTTAAATGACATTTACTTGCCGTACATATTTTTGTACGATATGTAGCTTTCTCTCTATGTAAGATTTATTGTTGAAACAAAATTTAGATCATATAATCAGAGATACTAGTATCTTATATATCATTGCCATTTCTGTTCCTCTGAGGCCTGTAGTTGGATTTGTTGTCCAAATTTATGACCATATTCTGTACAAAGCTAGTTTTTCTCTTCACTTGATCAATGTTGATGACTGACCATTATTTTTTTCATTGCCTTGAAAAAATATTACTGGTTTTGATATAATCCATCAGTGAAATTAATGTTAAATAGTTAATGTGTGCTTGGCAATGATGTTTCAAAACTAGCTTTAAAAGACCTGATTGTTGGATGGTGTAAAAGTGAAATTACTTTTTACATATATAATCAAATTACCATCAAAGACGCAATATTATTTTAGTTTTTAAAAACACCTAGATGATTTAAGTTCAATATCTATACCCATTTGATCTTACTTATTTTTTGAGTTGTTTGTATTAAGATTAACTCTTAGTTTACTCCTTCCAAAATAATTGTTCCACTTATGTTGGGTAAGTTGTTGTGAACAATTATAGGCGGAACCAAACACTTCTCAATTTGTTAAACTGTGCAAACTCCCACAAAAGACCATATACTTCAAAATCTAAATGAACATGTTCATGTGGTGTGTATTTACATGTGTATAGGGCTTTATGACTTCTGATATATGTAATATTATTTGGCTGGTTAGATTGAACTTCTCTCCATAAATTTTATTTAAATGGAGAGCATGAAATTTAATATTTTGATCACTGAATTTGTAAGTAAGCAATGTCTTGTTACACACGTTGGTATGATCAATTTTTTTTATTGTGGTTGAAGAAAGGCAGCTATTAAACAAACCTCTACTCTGAAAACATTATTTGATATAGTCTTTCAGAGTTTCATAATATTCTGCTTCTTCTATCTTTTTGGGAGCTCCTGCTTGGTACATGCCTTTGAAAAGACATTACTTATGATATACTGGTGTGACCTGTGCGTTGAAAATTTACAAGCCAGTTTTTAACTTTAATGTTTGGCATGGGTATTCAGGAACGAAAATATGTCTTCAAAAACAGGGAGGAGTTGGGGGGGGGTGTGGCAGCGGGGTGTCTCTAAACTTGTATATTCTCAAATTGCATTGTCAACTTTCACTCCGAACATTCTTATGGTCCCATATTCACTCACATTTTCTACCTTCCCATTTTTACTCTTACGAAGCACTTTCCTAACTCCATTTTAAATCATTATGATGTTCTCTCTTCCATTCTATATTCTTGCAGATTTTATTGATTCTAGTTTGGCATAGAGGCAACGGGGATATTGATTGGAAAACTTCACTAATATCTGTATTATTATTTCATCTCTCTACATAACATAGATTGATTCTTTCCAAACTGTGCATAGAAATTTCCTTGTGCAAAGCTGCTATAATTGTACAATGTTGGTTTATATAAACCTCAGGACATGCATTAATTCTTGGCTTAGGATTACCTCCAGTGTTCGAATTAAATAGTTATTATTTATTGCCTTGGAATCAAAATGTTATCCTCTTATTGATTTTTTCACTACCTGCACTGACTTTTAATAAATATGCAGATCAACGCCTCAACGATATTGTTGGCAGCGCCTACTATGTTGCACCTGAAGTGCTCCATAGATCTTACAGTGTTGAAGGAGACTTGTGGAGTATTGGGGTCATATCGTACATATTGCTATGTGGAAGTAGACCATTTTGGGCACGCACTGAATCAGGAATTTTCCGGTCTGTGTTACGAGCAAATCCAAACTTTGATGATTCACCTTGGCCATCAATATCACCAGAAGCTAAAGACTTTGTGAAGAGACTTCTGAACAAGGATCACAGGAAAAGGATGACTGCTGCTCAAGCTTTAGGTATGCTTCATTTGAATTTTTTGCCAGACCTTGTATTTACTAAATAAGATATTGCTTGTCATTGAAATTCTCTTTCATATTCCTATACTGTTGCTCTTTTCTTGCTAATAGAGAATTTCCTATATATTTTGCAGCTCACCCATGGTTGAGAAATGAAAAAAATCCCATTCCTTTGGATATTTTGATTTACAAGTCAGTAAAGTCATATGTGCGTGCCTCACCTTTGAGACGTGCTGCATTGAAGGTAGTCCACCTGTTATTCTGCCATTAGAACAAATGCATATTTTATCCTTCCCTCCTTTGGTGGGTGTACAGGACAATAGGACAAGACTAATGTTGTCTGCTTTACTCTTCCTTCTATTAATGCAGGCCCTAGCAAGAGCATTGACGGAAGATGAGCTAATCTACCTTAGAGCACAGTTTAATCTCTTGGAGCCTAAAGATGGCTGGATTTCCCTTGATAATTTTAGAGTTGTAAGTTCATGTTTTTTGCCATTTTATTCTCTCTTTGACATTAAGGTGTTTCCGTATATTTTTAAATAGTGATATACAATGTTATGATCTGTTAAATGTATATAATGTAAATATGTTATACTCTTCTATTAGCTACATTAAAGTAATCAGCCTTAGGTTATTCTTTTATAGTATAAACTTTGTTGTTGGTTTAATTTGCTGTTGTTTCAAAGTATCTAAACTGAAATATAAAAAACAATGCAGGCTCTCATGAAAAATGCAACTGATGCCATGAAGGAATCAAGGGTCCCTGACATTTTAAATCTGGTGAGTACTCTTTAATCCCAATGTATGTACTAAAAGGTTGCTCATTATGGCAGGAAGGAATGTATAATTGAATAACTCAAAAAACTCAATCTTATCAGTGCCACCGTTGTTCATAACAATATCTGTTTTATTTCTTGTGAAAGTACACTATTTTATTTGCTTATATATATTATATGAAAATTCTGAAATGGTTGTTTCTTGAAACAAGATGGAGGCACTCTCCTATAAAAAAATGGACTTTGAAGAGTTTTGCGCTGCCTCTATCAGTGTATACCAGCTGGAAGTTCATCAAGAATGGGATAGAATTGCTACCACAGCTTTTGAATACTTTGAGGAGACAGGAAACCGAGTAATTTCTGTTGAGGAGTTGGCTCAGGTTTGCACATTCTTGTGTTAATTCTGTCTTTTAAGTTGTTTAATAAACCCACTAACCTTTTGATAATGTATTCAGGAGATGAATTTGGGTCCATCAGCTTACTCTTTAATGGGTGATTGGATCAGAAAATCCGATGGAAAACTCAGCTTGGTCGGATATACAAAGTTTTTGCATGGTGTCACAATGCGTAGTTCAAATACAAGACACCGACAACTAGTATAACCAAAAGGAAGATTTGATTATTATTATTATGATTATTATTATTATAATATTTGTTGAAATTAGTTTGTGTCTTTTTTCTTTCTTTAATTTGAATTGAAAGGAAAATGGTACGAAGGGTCTAAGCAATTTTTTGGGGGGTTTTGGGGAGTGGATAATGAAAAAACAGAGCTAACATATTGTTTTGTTCCTCATGTGATTTGCGGTGCAAAGCAAAATCTCCTATTTTACTTGTGAGCCAAAATGCCACACTTGCTTTCTTGTAAGATTTCGTGTGAATATTAAAGACGCATCTATTTGAGTCAACTTCATCGTTTGGTAACCATGTCGCACTTTGTTTTTGAAGATCGAGGTAGAGAAATACGACGGTGAACTTGGGTCAATATCTTCCATGCCTCGTGATTGTGTATATGGTCTATACCCTCGTTTGAAACGACGTACATTTATCGTTTTAGCACCATTAAAAATCACGAGACAAATGGTGTTTATTAAGATATCCTTCTTACGAAAGGGTTAAAATAATCATGCACCTATTACATTATCAAGACCCGTCTAATACATAAACTGAGGAACAAAGAATATGAACAAAAAACCAAACATTGACTTAGGAATTTGGGAACCCCCATAAAGATAGAGATTTGCATATTAAAGAATTGGGAGTTAACATCTACCCAACTAAAGTTTGTCCACATTGCAAGTGTGACTGGGTCTGGTTTGTGATAACTAACAATTTTACGTCGTCATTGATTAAGAAATAAAATAAAAAAAGAAGAAGAAGGATGCAGAACATGCCAAGTTGATGAGGTAGAAAATTAATTGTCGAATGGCGGATGGTTACCTTCTGAACAAGTAAAAAGCCCTTAATTGCAGTAACGGCACTAACCCAGATTGGAATTGCCCAACAAAGATGGATACAGACTTCTTCAATAACAGTTCACGAGAGTTACCAGACAGCAACTAATTTGGGTAGGTTTATATGGTGCCAATCATAAATGAATTTGATATAATATTTTTCGTAATTTATCTATTCTTTTTTTCAGTAGTAATTATTAAAAAAACTACCTTTGGAATAAATTACTCGTTGGGGTGCCACTTCTATACAAGTTTTAAGATTTTGTTTTTTTCTATGTGGTTATAAGGGTTGATTGATGTTATTAAATGGCGGAGGAGACTAATTTTTACTAGCATGCTCCGATTTTTGTTGATTGTTGACTTATTAAATAGTCAACGTGTTTCCGTTTTCAAATTTAAGGTGTGATCAGTAACTATTAGGAAGTGAAACCATAAAAGATAGGTTCGTCAGAACTTTGGAAGTAATGAACACAGTAGTACGCATAATCATCGTGTCTAACTAAAATTGATGTTATAAGGATATATAAATATAGAGAAATTATAAAATTGTGAACTTATTTTATTAATAGATATTTTTAATTCTGAAAAATTAGGGGTAAAAAGTTTCCAATGTATGATGACCTCACGTACTTTATCCAAATCTTTTATCATGAATATCAACCACTTGTTATAGTTTTGTATTTTAACGATGTGTGTAAAAATTACAATAACAATTATTCATTTAGAAAATTGTCAGATAATATTGTGATAAAATATATACATGTAAAATAAATTACAATTATCGAAATTATAACCGTTATTATCAATGAATGTTATATGAACCTTGTTTAGAAAAGTTCTTAAGAATAAATAATATTATTTTGATGTTGGTGTTATGTTATCATTAGAAATATTGCTTAACTTGTTTTTAAGTAAGTCCGATGGGAAGAACACATTAAAATAATATATTTTATTTGAAGAATCCTTATAAACAATTCTAGTATGTGCTTTTAAAACGTTTTTTTTATTTAAAAAGAAAGTTAATTATATCAAATATTCCTTTATTCCCTATTTCATTGTCATCGAAATCTATAATTCAATTATGATAGAAGAATGTTTATTTAAAGTTTTACAACACATACTTAACGGGGAAGTTATTAATTATTAGAAAAAAAAAAAAACAATTATGTATCGTGATTTGGAAAAAAGAAAAATTGATGACAAGGATATAAGTAACTTCATTTTTATCCGTTAAAAAAGTTTTCAAGCATGTGACGAGTGTAAAAATTTTATTTGCAAGTATGAACGAGACAAAAAGTGGGAAAACTTCCGCGAAACATTGAACAAATGTCAGGCTGGCTTATGCTCTAGCCAAATAAAGACATCTAAATTAAAAAAATAAAATAAAAATAAAAGCCAACCAAATTTGATGACTTTTGACAGCAAATGGTGAACGCCCACAACCCTAAAACCCGATTTGCATTAGTATATTTGAAAACTAAAATAATTAGTTTAGAAGATAGATTCAATTATTCAAAGTCAAAATCGACCACTTTCATAGGAAAACAAATATGATCACCATTAATTGTGATTGTTGACTCCAATTAATCCCCGTTTGATTTGTTTGACAGCTTAAGAATAGAATGTGATAATGCAACACTTTGCTTTGAAATGACACAAGACAAACTTCATGAATCCTTGATCGGGTTCAATTTTGTGATGAAATAATGGGAAGTGTGCACGCCAATCACTATAGATAAAACCGTTCACCAAACTTGGTTTGGAACTCCTAATCACAAACCACAATGTATATAAAACCGCACCAACCTGAAAGGTAAAAAGAAGAAGAAGAAGAAGAAAACCACGTATAATTTTATCTTAAAAAGCAAGAGGTTAAATTTTGTTCATGGGCCCTCTCACCCACGTCCTCTTTCATCCACAAAAATGATGAGATAGATAAACTAGATCTCAGATTTTTCTAAGTGAATAAAAAGAATAAAAGAAGGAATATAAAAAAGAAAAAGTCTACGCTAACTCATCTTTGTTCCATATTCCAACCGTGTCTTTCACGCTTCACGTCCAACAAGCAAACAGCTATATTTTTTTTTTTTTTCTCTCTTTTTTTATAAAAGATAATAATTAAGAGCATCTATGTGTATCTACTTTAATTTAATTCATTCACATGACACGTAACATTGAAAGAACAAAGAAAGAGAGAATGATACATACTCATCGATCACATCATCATCAGAAATGTACCAAAAACAAAAAATCATGCAGATTTAGAACCAGTTTTTTCGTCGTTGTCACGTCATTGAACCAACACCACATTCTGGTGTTGCGGAGAATAGGAAAACAATAACAAAAACAAAAGTAAACAAGACATGTACATGGGTTTAATTAATGTTGGTAGAGTAATTAATTGACAGAATCACACTTTGAAGCACCAAGCATGGTGATGGTGGAGACAGTTCTCCCTGTCGATGATGCCTTGGACGGTGCGAAAGTGTTCCACGTGGCATGGAATGGTGATGGGGCCTTTCTGCTCGAACCCGTATTCCTCTTCAGCTTCTTTCAGCAACTTCATGAACAGTGGATGGTTCATGTACATAACAGGGATCACAAACCTCTGTTGCTCTTCCCCTTGCCCCACCAAGATCGCCAAACACCCTTTTGGGATGTCCTTCAGGTCCTTCTTCTCCTGGTGTTGGTGGTGGTGAAAGTGGAGATGAGGAATGTGCAAGTGAAAGCTCATGTGGTAATGATGGTGATGGTGTTTTGGATTGTTATGATGATCGCTGAGGATCCCCATATTCAGAAAGATCAAAAGAACGTAGGTAGCCAAGAAAAGCTAAGAGAAAAAAACCAAAACCAAAACCAGAGTATAGTGCTGGGGTGAGAACTAATACACGTTAGGGGATTAAATCTGACGAGGGTTATAAGAAAACGAGTGAGAAAGGCCAGGGATCAGAGGAAGATATGGCGAGGTTGAAGAGGGTTAGGGAAGAGTCGGTGAGAGATCTTGGGATGTTGCTCATGATAAATGGAAACAAGAGAATACCCACATAACAATAAAACGTATGCAAAAAATAAGAATGAAGAGGATTTGCAAAGGTGAGAAAGAGGTGTATTTATATGTGTTGGAGAGGGTGAGGTGAGGGTTTTGTGCAGCAAAATATTGATTCCAATGTGAATGTGTGAGGAAGAGCGTTGTGGTGGGCCTGGATGGTTCTAGGGTTTGGTTTGCTTACTGTGTACACAAAGATTTGTTTTGTGTTATGGTATACCCCAAAGCTTAGGAGAGTAATATATCTCATTCTTGTTCAGATGAAAGGGATAGTGAAGGTGACTAAATTTGATTGGATGGTGATGTGGCTAGTTAGGGCAAGCTAAGGATATATTCTTTGTGATTAAAGTAAAAGGGAGTTGATTGTGTGTGTTTTGAAATTTGATTTGATTTCACAGCTGGAAATTTGAAGGTTTGCCATTGTGACTGTGGCTCGCGTTGAAGAATAAGAAACACGCGCAGGAGTTGTAAAATTGAAACATTATTATTAATGTGATGTGATGATGATGATAAATACTAAGTTTCACATTTCAAATATGGATGGTTTATGATCCGTTTGACTTGGTTTATGGCGAAGACTTTGCATTGCATTGAATGAATGAATATTGTAGAAGAAGCCACGCTCTTCCACACGTCACCCTTACTCGCGATGCAAGAGGCCCTTCCATCATCTTTCCACTTACCAATACCATCTCAATTTCTTTTCCATTCCCTTATCTTCTTCCCATCTTTCTTCACTTTTTCTCTTTAAATTAATCATAAACACAAATATCAACGCATCATGTTAATTTTCAAGACTTAATTTAACATTTCTGATAACTTAAAAACATAATTTATAAACTTTAAAGTTTATATTATCGGACGTTGTAAAAACAATTATATTAGACTTTTTATGCAAGTCAACGTGCTCAACCTTTAAAAATAATCAAATAAAAATTCTAGTATATTTTAACGATCTTAACACACTGTTTCGGTGGAATTTCGATCGATTTCGATTCTAAGGGTGTTTTGGTCCTAATCAAAATTCTACCACGTAAGTTCTTTTACTTAGGCTAGCAATTTGATTTTCAATCGAAAACGCGTATGAGAATTGAAAACTACAGGATATCGAAAATGTGGTTTTTGGTATTTTATGTCTAAAATGCTTGACTCAAACAAAACAGTAAAGTATCGAATCGAGCAAAGAGAATATTAAATTGCAAGAAAGTGCGAAAACCCCGAATTTGCAAGAAATTAAGTTTGCGAGATAAATAAAGGACAGGAAATCGAAATGTGCGGGAAATGTAAATTGCTAAAACCCATTAAAATTGCACAGAAAGTAAATAACAGGAAATCGAAATGTGCGGAAAATGTAAATTGCTAAAACCCATTAAAATTGCACAGAAAGTAAATAACAGGAAATCGAAATGTGCGGAAAATGTAAATTGCTAAAACCCATTAAAATTGCACAGAAAGTAAATAACAGGAAATCGAAATGTGCGGAAAATGTAAATTGCTAAAACCCATTAAAATTGCACAGAAAGTAAATAACAGGAAATCGAAATGTCATTGAATGTAATCTACAAGAATATGAAATTGCTGAATTGAAATGGCTCGAAAGTAAATTACCAAGGAAAATATAGAAAGCGATAAATGTACTCAGTGAGCAAGGAAATCCAGATTGCCAGAAACTTCATGGTGTTCGTCGTTTCTCCGGTAGACTTTTCACTACTGATTCTGTTCTCTGCCAATTTCCCCTCCCCTGTTTCTCCTTTCTTTGTTCTATTTATAGGGCGTTGTTCAAGCCTTCTAAGAGCAGTTAACGAGACTGCTACCACGTTCTTCGTGCGTATGACAGTTTCTTTTTACAGTTTTCCCATGTTCTCACGATCTTCAACTTTTCCATCACTTAGAAACTGCTTTCAGTACGTGCGTTTTGACTACTTTCTTTCAAGGTTTAGCCAAGGTTATGATATCTACGAAAACGAGCCTTCCCTTTGATTTAATCGAGAACTTTGCATACCTGGTATCGATTTATTTTAACCTTAACTCCATGTTAAGCTTTTCGACTATTACGCCTACTCTTCCAATTTTACCTTTCGATTTTATGTGTCACGTTCTTTATAATCGGACATCAGGAAAGTTCCCTTTCGATTCATTTCTCGATCAGACTTCTCGATTCCACACTATGACTTAGTCTTTATTTGGCAACAGCCGTTCATTTCTCGATTGTGCTTCTCGATGTTATATGCTACGTGTTTCAATTTGGACATCGAATGAATATTTGTTTATCTTATCGAGTCATATTTCTTTTCCCTTCGATTCCGATTGTGTTTCTCGATTTGCTACTAACAAATGCCCCCTTGAAAGAATATGAATAATTTCAGTTTATATTCTTTCAATATTCCCGCTTTAATGTTTGGAAGGTCCACAGGGTTTAGGGTTTAGGGTTTAGGGTTTCTGGGGTTCTAGGTTTAAAAGGGGTTTTAAGTTTCTTTTCCTCTTTACGTCGCCATCATATCAGTCTGCTGTTTTCACAGTACGCTGCATTTATTACCTTTCACCTCCGTCGTTCCATCTCCCTATACGATTTCCTTTTAACCTCTCAACCTATCTTTACTCTGGCTTTACGCGAACTTTTATCCTCTACTGAAAACTTGTCTTCTTCCCTAAGCTCCTGCCTTCGTTTCTGTTACCTTACCTGTCACCTTCTTTATTATTTCTCTAATCTTACTATAATGGCCTCTTCATCTAAGTCATCTGATTTCTCGGCTCCTCCTCTTACCTCATCTACTTCTACCTTGCTGGAAATTAACAACCAGCAGTTTGCTCCCTTGCCTTTAATGGAAGAGGCCTCTAAAAGGATTGCTGAAACTCAGGTATTAGTTCCTTACACTGTTGGTGGGGTTGGTTTTGGTTTTGGGGGCCCCATTCTTTCTGATAGTGGAACCGTTTCTCCCCTCACCCTCTCAAGCAGCCCTGCTCTAGTTCATCAGCCCGAAGTTAGGATCGATTTTTTGAATTTTGTTTCCAAGGTGTATAGGACAGGTCCTCCCTCCAAAAAATCTTTGTTCACTCGATGGTTTGATAGGGTCAAGGCTAAATTCGGGGACCATTGGAAGAATGTGGGGGTTTATGATTTTCTACATTTATCTCAATGTGATTTATCCTACCTCGATATGGCTATGTTCCTGGCTGCCGTGCACCTATGGAATAAAGAGATACATGCATTGGAATTACCTTGTGGCCCCCTCTCACCTACTCTTCTCGATGTTGCAGCCATCACTCGGGTTGAAACCTATAGGGGAAAGATATTTTCGAGGTGCGTGTCCTTCAGATAATTCGTTGAAGTCAAAAATCGATTGGGAATCGAAGGCCTACGGGCATTTCATTGAGAAGCATTTCGTTGATGATCCCTCGATAGATGTCACCGATGAAGAACATGTAGCGTTTTTGGTGTATTGGCTGTGCACCCATGTGTTTTGCCCCCGATCGATCCAAATTTCCCCTCATCTCTTCAATCTTGCTTATCTCCTTCACTTAGGTCAACCCCGCCTATGTTTGGCCAAGCTTTTGCTAGCACATGTATATACCGCTTTCGACGAGGCCGTCGAAATTTTAAATACTCCTAAGGCATCGGGGAATTTTTCCGGCCCCGTTTGGTTCATACAGACTATGGTTAACATCCGTTTTGAGAGTGTCCTTCCTCGATATTCTACTGTCCCCCTAAGTGTAAATATAGAAGGGGCTCGATTATCCTCCCGTCACCCTCGCTATAAATCGACGAAGCCACATATTGTAAATATCTCCAATTTTTGTTAACCAGATTTGTTTTCGATTCAACCTTAGCCCCTTTTATCGTAAATTTTGAGCGAGTAAGTGACCAACTTAGGGGACCGATCCGGTTCAAGTCAAGATTTCCTGCCTCAACCCCTGGGTTACAATTAGAACTGATCGATATATGGAGTGGCTACTTGACCCATGATGTGCTAGTATCAGGTTTCCACCCCAGGGATTTCAAGTTCGTTACTTACTACCCCAGCTTTTTTCCGACAGTTTGGCCTGAGCCAGTCTTTACCCTTTTTCCCTTTAAGTTCCTTCCCTAAATCCAAATTGACTCGAATCGAACATCGGCCGAGAGCTTGCTAAATTTTTGCCAAGACCCTCGATGCATTTTTATCCATATGCATTTGAGTCAAATTACTTATCGACTCGTGGAATTTTCTCAATGGTGGACTAATTGGTTTTCAAGTAATCGTGCTATTTTTGATGAGGTTCGACAGAGACTCGATCGCTCATCCTTCTCTTGTGTTGCAGGACAAGTCAAAAGGGAAGAAAGGTACACACTTCCACTGTCTCCAAATATCTCGATTCGAGAATTTTTATCAAATATGTTATACTCCACTAAAACTAGAATCGACCTTTTATGATGCTGTCATTTCTTTATCCCGAAAAACAGATACCAATAGATCGAACCACAAAATAATTAATCCCTTAGGAAAAACCCCTTTCGAAATGTATTGTCCTACTCACCTTCCCACTTTTCCTACAAGCACCTTTTGGACTCGCAAAACCTTTAACTCATCCCAAATGGGTTCGAGAATTGAGAACCCTTAGAGAAACCCGTCGCCCAAAACCCAAAAACAAAGACATTTCTGTATCGAAATTGTTTTACTTTCCTTACCTTAACCTCCCCGAAGCTCTCCCGCCTCCTTGGCTAGTACATATTGATCGAGTCAAAATTTTGACTCCATCACCTTTTGGTGAGGTTTTATTGTTTTCTCTCGCTTTCGATTCTGTGTTTTGGAAACCGACTATCTTCATTCTTTGGCAGCTTCAAAATCTACTAAGGTGGTTGCCTTCGAGAAGGCACAAGAGGAAGGAAAGGACGCAAGCCGGGAGTCCCCGGATGAATCGGACCCTCCGTCCTTCACCAGGAAACGAAAACAATCGGCCACCACTACTTCATCTTCGAAAAATCGAAGGTTCTTTTCGATCTCTTTGTCTCATCCATTCTTCCGTTTATAACATGTTTCCCTATGGAGCCTCAAACCTCTTTTCGATTTCTACCCTACGTAAAAAATCGAAGAGTCCCCGATCGATCCAACCATCCACGAGCAGATCCATTGTCGATGGATTCGAACACCGTTCCTTCTACGGGTCAAACAACGCCCGTCACCCATTCCAAGTCATGTGAGTTTTCTTTTCCTCTACCTTTCATGTCTTAGATTTTGTTAAGACTTGTATCATGACTTATATTTTCGATAAATTTTCTAGGATAATCCATCGAGTGATCTGTATCGACTACTCGTCGAAACTCAGCTTCAACCTTCAACACCAATTCCCGAGGTATAATTCTATTTTACTTGTGTATACCTCTTTTGACTTGCCTATTTTTTTCTTTTTCCTAACTCTCTTTTTTGATTTACAGCAATCTCGAGGCCGTACAGAGTCCTCCTCGTGCTTCGAC